TTCTTTTCCTTCCTTCCTCCCTCTCTTCCTTCCTTTCCTTCCTTTCCTTCCTCCCTCTCTTCCTTCCTTCCTTTCCTTCCTTCCTTCCTTCCTCCCTCCCTCTCTTCCTTCCCTCCTTTCCTTCCTTCCTCCCTCTCTTCCTTCCTTCCTCCCTCTCTTCCTTCCTTTCCTTCCTTCCTTCCTCCCTCTCTTCCTTCCTTCCTTCCTCCCTCCCCTCTCCCATGTCACCCAACACCCAAAGGGTTGAATGTCGTCACTCTCTGATCTGCCCCCATGCCACTTGGCAGAGCGAGATCTTAACACGCTTTCAAAAGACCAGGAGTGTTTCTGTGGCAAACAGGCCAGCTGCCCAGTGTGAAGCGGCACACCACAACTTCAGAACGACAGAGATAGAAGGGACCTTGGAGGTCATCTAGTCCAACCCCCTGCTCAGGCAGGAGACCCCCACACCCTTTTAGACAAACCGCTGTCCGGTCTCTTCTTAAAAAGTCTCCAGCGATGGAGCACCCACAACTCCAGGAGACAACCAAATAACAGAGCTGGAAGGGACCTTGGAGGTCATCCAACCCCCTGCTCAGACAAACCGCTGTCTGGTCTCTTCTTAAAAAGTCTTAGCTGGGGGGGGGACAACTTTCGTGATTTCTGCAAGTTGCACCCTGTGGGTCAGCCCCACGGTGACATCGCCCTGCCCTTTCTGGCCTGCAGAGACCCACAAGAAGGCTACCGGGGCCATGGTGTGGGGGGGAAACGAGGGGGGGGGATCCACCCTGGGGCCCCAGCCAGGACTCACCGAGCCGAAGACTTTGCTGATGGCCGCCTCGATCTGGAAGTCCGAAGCCCCCCGGTCCATGTTGGCGCTGATCATGTAGGCCATGGACTAAAAAAAGAGAGAGAGCACCAAAGAGTCTTTGGGGAATTAAAAACAATGGCCTTTTCCCACATTTTTAAACTTTTTATCCTAATGTACAGAGTCTAGTCCTGCTTGAGCAAGGGGCTGGACTAGAAGACCTCCAAGGTGCCTTCCAGATTCTATTCTATTCTATTCTATTTTCTACATTCTATTCTGTATTTTATTATTTTGTTTCTATTCTAATTCTATTCCATTCCATATTTTCTATTCTATTCTATTCTATTCTATTCTGTATTTTATTTTGTTTCTATTCTAATTCTATTCCATTCCATATTTTCTATTCTATTCTATTCTATTCTATTCTATTCTATTCTATTCTATATTCTATTCTATTCTGTATTTTATTTTGTTTCTAATTTTATTCCATTCCATATTTTCTATTCTATTCTATTCTATTCTATTCTATTCTATATTCTATTCTATATTCTATATTTTATTCTGTATTTTATTATTTTGTTTCTATTCTAATTCTAATTCTATTCCATATTTTGTATTCTGTTCTGTTCTGCTCTGTTGTTCTGTTCCCTTCCCTTCTGTTCTGTTCTATATTCTATTCTATTTTCCATTCTATTTTCAATATTTTTATTCTATTCCATTCCATTCCATACACAATGAATATAAAACACAATTAAAAAATACAAATACTCAACCCTGAAATAAAAGATTTTGCCACAACTGTTTCTTTTAATTCCCGTTTCTGGCATAAAAAACCAACACCACCACCCCCGGGATTGCGACAATGAGTTCGCTTAGAGACCACCACAAAAGAGGTCGTAAAATTGGGTGCAGTTCCGTAATGACCCCACTTAACGACCGGTAGAACTTAATTCAGTCATACGTCTATATAATATCATGGAAAGAAAGGGTTTTTACGTTATTAGACCCTAGTATTTGCTTTTAAGGCGTGGTCTCTGGATCAAGCCTCAGAGATTCGCTTTTTGGGGGGAACTAAGTTTCTAGTCCTCAAGGCTGTCGAGCGATACCGGAACGCCAGATCTGAGAAATGACACTTTGGGCACCAGCCCGAATGTACACACACACACACAAGCGCACGCCTGTTTTGCACGCCCGTACCTCCGTCACGTAGTGCAGCAACGCCATGCGGGCGAGTTTTTCCTGGATCACCCCAAAAGTGTGGATTTTCTCCCCAAACTGAGTCCGGTTAGCGGCAAAGTCCACCTTTGGGACGGAAAAGGAGATGGGGGAGGAGGATTTGACTTACAACAGTTCATTTAAGCGACGATTCAAAGTCACGACGGCGCTGAGTCAAGGGACTTACGGTCAATGTTCGCACTTACGACCTTTACACCGTCGCGGGATCAAAATCCGGACCCTCGGCAACTGACCCGTACTTATGACGGGTCGCAGCGTCCCAAAAGGGTCCCGTGATCTCCTTTTACGGCCTTCCAACAAGGGGGGGAAGCTGATTTAACGGCCGCAGTAATGGACGATGGTGGCAAGAACGGTCGTAAAAGGGGACAGTCTACAACCGTCTCGCTTAGCGACAGAAAAGTCGGGCAAAGTTGTCGTCGTAAGTCGAGGACTATCTGTATGAGGGGATACCGGGGAGGGAGGGAGGGGGGAGAAGAAAGTGGGGTGGGGGGCCCAGAGGCGCTCACCGCTTTCTGGATGAGCGCCCGCATGGTGCCAGCCATGGCCGCCGCCATGCCGAAGCGCCCGTTGTTCAGGATGTTCATGGCCACCTTGAAGCCGGCGCCTGGCGCACCCAGGACGTTCTCTACCGGC